GGGGGGGCGGGGCCCCCCCCCCCCCCCCCGAAGCAAGGGGGGGAGTTCCGTCCAATGAGGCCCCTGGCCAAGATGCAGTGGGGACTGGAAGACAGCTCCAAATGCCGACACTGCCACGTGTCTGTGGGCAGTGGCACAGGCAGTCTGGGGCACTTGGCTGGGCCCCCTGTTTAGGGTTGACAGACAATGACGGGGGTGGCAGGAGCCATTGGGGCCATCTCTCCCTTCTCCAGCCCCCTAGAGCATAAACACCCTGGCCAGGGACCTTGGAAAACGGGGGGGGGCTGAAGAAAAGTGCACAGCAGCTGTTTAACACTCCACAGCAAGGAAGATCCCTCTTCTGAAAAACGTTACAGAAAACAGGACAGCGGCTGGGCCCCCCAGCTCAAAGGGACAGGGCTCTTCCTGGGCAGGAAGGAGTTACCCCTGATAAGAAAGGAAACTGAGGCACAGTGACACCCACACAGGACCAAGCATGGGTTCCTGCTGCTGCCGTCTGCTCCCTGTGCCCTCGGGCACTCACCTGGGTAGCCAGGCCATGCCAATTCCCAGCAGGCAAGGGGGCCCCTTGCTCATAGTGCCCAAAACCTACCCCGGGCATCAACCACAAAGCAGCAGTTGAGTTCCAGACAGAGCAGGGACAGTAGCTCTGCAAGGCAGGAGAGGCCTCCCACCCTCCACCATCCATCTGCTCCTATTGCCCCAGACCAGTCCCTCTCCCCATAGGACTGCCCTGCAAGGGGGCACCTTTTGCTGCTAATAATCTCCCACCAGGGGCAACTGATGCTGCCCCTTTGCTCACAGCAGGGTCGGGGTAATTAGTGAGGATGTGCAATGCTTGGACCAGACCACCCCACCCCACCCCACCTGGCTGCCCTCTCCCTGCTCCTCTGATCAAGCACCATTTGCCATACACTCCCCCTCTTCTCTGCCCCTTAGGGACAGGCTACCGGCCACACTCACCCTGCAGAGCCAGGGGGCTGGTTCTGACCCCAGCTCAGAGGAGGCCCAGCACTGGCCAGCTGCAGGTGTCTAGTGCACCAGCCAGCCCACCTGTCCTCCATTCACCCAGGGCTGGACCACAGCGTTTTGGCACCCAAGGCAGGGAGCTCAAATGACACCCCCATGTCCCCTCACTTGGGCCAAAACTTTGAAAGGTCTCAATTCTCTGGGTCCTAGTGGCATCCCCCACAGTCTGGCACCTGAGGCGGCCGCCTCAGTTCGCCTCATGGTAAGGCCAGCCCTGCCCTGCATTCACCCTGCACAGCGCCCGGCCCTCTAAGCACTGGGGCCTGCCCCTCCCCACACATGTATGGGGCTAGCTCACCTAGAAATAGTCCAGGCAATTGCTTATTGGTGAGGGCCCTGTTCCCCTTCCCACGCTACTCCCTGCAGCCCTGGCCAGACCCCCAGCGTACCACCCAGGGAGAGGGTCTACACTGGAGCCTGAGACCCACAGAGCAAGAGCCCCTCTCCCCCTAGCACCTTTCACAAGGCATCCCAGCAAAAAGCAGCCAGACCCAAGGGGATTCATGCAGGGGTGTCGCTGTCCGGCCTGCTCTCAGTGGTGCAGAGACAAGGTGCTGCCCTCCCCCAATCATGGGCCATTCCATGGACTTCTTCCCCC